CAATGTATCAAATTGCTATTGCACTACCTCAGAACTACACATCAATACGGGCGATTCATAATAGCGCACCTCCAAGAATTTGCAATGCGTTGACCGATCCCAGTGCGCGAAATCTGCCGACCCTTTCCAAACACGCATTGGGTCGACAGATTTCGCACATTGTGATTGGCCAACGTGTTGCATACTCTTGTAGAGGTGCTATGGTGAAATGCCCGTATTGAACCCCATTGTATGTGCAAACTCCTGACTCTGCAATGGCCTGGCCCATCAGGTTGAAACCAGGGGTGTTGCGCATCGTGACCTTGTCCTTGGCAACAGTTGAACTTGGCCTAGCGTCACACCATACTTGAACCCGATGCCACCAATGTGTTCCGTTAAAACGGATGAATGAATATTGAACAAGGCTAACAAGACCTTGCCCCCAAAAACCACGCCACTGAAAGCTGGTGTCCCCCCCATAAGATGCTGGTGCCCCCCACTAGTAAAGTCCTAGCTCTGCCACTGTTGTGCAACTGTATTTGTTTGAAACATCTTAGACAAGGACAGTAACAGCATAATGCGTCGAGCACCGATGAGCATGACAAATATAAGATGAGCGACATGAAGCTTCCAACACAAAAGCAGTGAAATAATAATGCACATGTCAAATGGTTGTGACACCAGCTTTTGTTAAAAGGACTTTGGACCACTAAGCATCAGGGATTAAGAATGACATTTGAAATAGAGATGTCAAGCCTGCACATTTCAGTGTTGCTATGATTGTGAATGCTGTTTTCAGATGACGAGGATGTGGGGATTGGTAAACTCAGTCGCTCAGATTTCTGCAAGCAACGATTCAACACTGAAGATTATTCTCGCATGTACCTGTTGAACCGTGACATGATGCCCCCAGGAAAGCAGATTTACAACTCACGTAAGGGATCTTGAAAATCTCCCCAGTGGAGTAGCCAGACTGTTTTTGTAAGGGGGTGGGGGGTTGTTGAGCTGCCTTTGTTGGGGGAACAAGCTGTTGGTGGTTTAATGGCTCTTTGATTACATTTACATGCATATTCACGAGTACACAAAATTAATGATGGATGATGATGATTTTTAGAGTGGACAGTCTGTTGCTGTAGACAGACATTCACCTGTTTGAAATTCTACATTCTTCAAATTTTAAATTACTCCTTTCTGGCTTTTTTTTTTTGTCGTAGTTGATAGAAAATCTGACGAATACCAGTACAATATCAACTCTAGTCTGCTTGCCAAGGCCTACCTGGACAAGCACCCCAACGTGCTGGAAAAAGTCAAGGAACTAGTCCTGGAAAATCTGAATGACCACAACTCTGACCAAAGTGGGAGTCTCCACTCCGAGGAAAGGGGGGATCAGAATTGGGATGGCAGAGCCCACTCGGATGGAAGGGAGGGTTCAGATTTAGTTGATGTGCCAAATGAGCAATTCCATGACTTGGTAAGTTTACTTGGACTTATGTCCCCAAGCAGCATACTTTGCTTCTCTAAGATAAATTTTCTTACAAACAAAACTGCATTAAAATTTGACATATTTTCACTACCTTCTTAAATCAAGTACTGACAGTTTCAGTGATGTTTTTTTTCCTGTTTCTCCATGCAGGATGGTGGATTTAATCCGCTGCCAAAGCAACAAGACCAAACGGCCACCAACAGACTTGCACCAAGGTTAGGGTTTGATAACGAGGATGAATTGCCTATATTTGAACCCCCTGTAGACTTGCAACCCAGTGAGGATCAACGTCAGCCAAGTCAGCCGGTCCCTGATTCACAGGATGTGGATTCGCGTGACCCTGATCCATCACAGAATCATTCACAAAAGCCAAATCCACAGGGCGCTGATCCACTAGATTTCTATCCCGAAGACCGCTATCCACAAAGTCCAAGTCAGTCCCTGGATTCTGATGGTAGACTGTCCCAGAAGCTCTTGGATGAGCTTCTGAACCAACTCCTGCAGGATGATCAGCTCAGTGATGCAGATGATTCACTAGTAGACGACGTGCGAGGATACCCGATCAACAAGGGCCACTTGGGCCCGTCTGGCCCGCTAGCTGGAAGTTCAGACTGGCAGCACCCAGCACGGCCGAGTGACCCCAGAAAGAAATCCTATTACGGTGACTTGTTTGACACGCAGAGTGAAACAAACGGAAGGGGGCAGTACAACAGATACGGTAACAGACAGGGATACGAAGACAGTGGTAGCCCCTACGGCAGAGTCAGCAATGCCGACAGGGATGAGACCAAGAAATGGCTGGACAGGATGTATGGCTCCCCATCACAGGAGGGTTTCTCAAATCCATCCAAGAGATATTTCAGGAAGAGGCGAGGGGCAGGTCATATGCACAGACCCCCATTTCTTCCCCTCCACGACCTGGTCAAGGAACTCTTCCAGAGATTAGAAACCCGGAAGACCGGGAAAGGAGAGGCAGTCGATGAAGAGCATGTCTCGGGGCCGACCAATGAGCGCAAACCTCCACTTATTCCTCTTGAGTATCTGGACAAGGAATTGTATCAGAAATTGGAAGGTCGAGGGACTCGGAAAGAAAAACCACGGAATGAAGATCAGCACACAAGGGGGGCCACGGAGCTTACTGGGCAGTCGGCCCATCTGGGTGGGCCTTTCAAACGAGTTCACGGGTCCCGTGCAAGTCCTCGTCGCGGGCGCCACGCAGGCCCTCATGATGCTGGGGGTGTGCAGCGGCTTATCTCCACGGGCACCCTGGCCCCAGTCTTACCCGGCCAGGCAGATTCGGCAGGGGACAGCATGGATCTGGTCTTTGCCACCTATTGGTTCTATCCATCCGACACCCAGGTGAGTCTGACGGAGCCTTCCAGATGTTGATGACCTGGGTTCGTCAAGGCTTTGATATTCAGCCTTTTGGCTGATTTCAGGATTTTTTTATGCCAATTTTTACTTTGCCAGTTTTTTGTACATCTGCTCAGTGTAACATTATGAGAACAACTTAACTTTCAACTTTTTACAACCCCATTCCAGTTTAAGTGAATGTGGCCACTTGAATCCCTGTTTCATTTTGAAATTGTGTACATGTCTTTTGTCATGTCCTTGGGTCATTTTATAAACTCGGCATCCAAAATTGTTATTTTTGCCTGCCACATTTTTTGAGATGGAGGTTGTAATTGCTGTAATTCCAGCAAGCTGAGTGGTCCCCTTTTGTTCTCTCTTGTGCCAGATTATTCTTCCAGAGCAACAACAATGCATCGATGAGTGGATGGCTAAGGAGACTCAGCGTATGAACCCCAAAAGTACGAGTATGACTCCTTCCAGATTCCATTTGGTTTTGCACCCCTGGATTTTGAATGAAACACTCAGTTGAAAAACACAAACGACAGATTTCCTGGGTTTTGAACCACTCAATTACAGGCCATGTATTTTAAAAAGAAAGGAGCTTTCAGTCAGGGAATTTGAGCTTCCCCAGTTGTTTGAAATCTGCTTAAATTAGGAGATGTAAACAAAGGTAGTTGCAAAGACCTCTTGCACCTTTAGTTGGTACTCGGTAATAGCTTTTTTAACATTGCAAGGAACCACTGTAAATGTGAAGTACGATTCTAGTAACAGCTGAAAGAAATTTTCAGATGCTGCAATGATGAATGTAACTTCTCGTTTGTCTTTGGTAGGTGTGTTTTACGGTCTGGATCATGATGCGTATGAACACATGGCAATGGACAAGTGCACAGAAGGTGACTATCAATTTTACGCATTCTTCTTGTTCTACAGACTAGGATGTTTTTGTATGACAGGTCCTGTTGCAGAGAAAACGGTGGATGGTCATCCGTGTTCTGTATGTTTGATCCGTTGAGCTATTGTAATACTGCAGTGCTAGTCGTGAAAAGTGAAGCCCGCTAGGCTTATCGTTGGCACAAACCCAGGCAAAACTTGAGATTCGGTATGCCATGGAAGGCTATTTGCATACCTGTGTCTGCGTCTGTATTCTACTTAAAGCGATGTGTCAACAAACTTGAACCTGTAACTGTTTGTCTGACGGTCTCGATTGCAACACTTTCAAGTAACAATTGACTGCAATTCTCTTCTTTCTTTTCTTCTTTCTGCACGCCCAAAATATTTCCCAGGTACTACCAGGAAGCAGCGAGAGGAGTATGTATCTCGCCTGGGCCCACTGGACATCTACCCCTTCAACATCCACACCGGTGAGCTGACCGTCTACCGACTGCGTTTGACATGCCGCTGCAAGAAACAGTCTGCAAACCAGCGCTGCGCCAAGGTTTTGCCTTACGACGAGCAGCGCTGGGCCGCATACATGGGCACCTACGGCAACAGCCACTTCCGAGCCCAGTAATGGATTGTTCACTCTCAAGAAATTTTCCAGAGTGGACAAGCTTGCCAGCGACAAACTCTTAAGTACTTTGCAGCAATATTTCTCTCAGCTTCTGTTCATATTTCACTGGACCATTCCAAAAGATAACTAGTACATGAGACAAGTTATTGCAACTGGTTCATTTTGCACAATTTATTCAGCTATGTAAAACAGCATCCGTGTAACTTGATGCTGTGGATTGGTTTATTCATGTGTAGGTTATTAGCATATCATTAATATTCATGTCATTCATGAGCCGCATGCTACAAAATGTGTCACAAGTCATCAAAGAAACGTTTAATTACAGGTATTCAAAAGAATCTGGCTCTAAAATCAAAATGAATCTTATCTGCCGCCGCCATACATGTCATGTCCATTTTGATCAATGATCAGGAAATCAAATTGATTGATGCATCAAAATAGCTCAGGGTACTCTTTCTATTTCAAACCAGAACTCAAAATTGGCCCTGAAGAGCCCTTGCAACTTTTGACTTATTTTTACAGATTGGTCACATTTTTTTTTACCACAGACTAGTAACCTTTAAGATCTTTAAGTCCAGGGCGCAGTGGTACGGAGCTGGTGTGCACAGAAAATGTAACTAGCTCCTACAAAATGAGTCATTTTCCCTGATCATTTTGCATTTGTGTGGATCCGAAGAAGCAAACTTAGGTTGTTCTTTTGATGTATCACTGGGTCTGGCATCCTGATGAAGATGGGCATTAATTGCTACGCGTGCAAGAAGTTAGCAGAATTCGGATTGTTACCTTTGCCGATTTCGTGCAGAAACGTAGCTTGGTTGATTTTACATCTCACATCCCCTATCTTGACAGCTTGATGAAGGGCTAAAAAAATTCATCAATTCATCAACCCAGCAAGAAAATTACAACTTCTGTGCGTCAAAGCGAGGGGGGCATATTACCTGGAGGGGGGACTGATTTACCAGGCCAGGGGTCCTGATTTACTAGGCTGGGGGACACTCTTACCTAGGTAACTCTCTCCCCAGACAGTTTTCGGGGGACAGATTTACTGTCTACACCGGCACCATTGTGCTCTTCATGCACTGACATGCACCTTCTTGTTCCGTAAGTTCACTGTCCACGCCAGCTGGCATTGCAGTTACCGTGGGCACCCGGAATGTCCCCACAACTCGGTCCAACTTTACCCAACTACAGAAAACATTCCCACAACGAGGTGCCAGCAAGGGTTTCTGAGTGGAGAACTCAGTAGTCCCTGCTTGGTGGTAGCAGTAGGCCTGTCTGGTGGAAGCGGGGGGGGGGACATGCCCCTTCCCTGCTACCTTTGGCAGGTCTTAAAATGGGGCAGGGTTTATTGGCTCCGTCCATTAATAGCTGATGTCCAGTGTCTTACAACTGCCCCCTTACCCCCTTGTAAAGTTGTTTCGCTGCTACTGGACCCAAGTGAAGTCTGCACTTGTAGCTGGTTTTCATCCGATCGTTACTGATCATGTGCATCTTCTAGGCAATATATACTATACCCAGTCTCAGGGTCTTCTTAAATTTTGCCCCGTGTCTATCCAATCCATGCATCCAGTTAATTTATGCCACAAAGTGGAATTTTTCTGTATCTTAGTTTAAATCTTCCCTTTACCCTTGTCCTAGTCCTTACATTGTCGAAAATCACTTCAGTATTCACTTATGGCTTCCCCTGCAGTTCACTGCAGAAGTAACTGTAGTGGATGTTAGCGACACACCCCAAGGAATGTGGAGCTAAACCTTTGATATGCAAATGGACCTACACTATACTCCACTGGGAGCCTTTGCAGATGTTAGGTGTGGCATCCTCCAAAGCCTCTGTTTGTGTGGCTTATCTGGGCTGTTTTCCAGTTCTAGACTTCATCTCTGTCTCAGGCTTCGTCTCCAAAATCAATTCCTGATTGTAGGCCTGAAGCATTGAGATACTGTACCCTTTTGCATCTGATCTGAGGTTCCTGTGGCATTATTGTTCTTACTACGTGTATTTATTGGACAGCATCAGAGTCAGGTGAAAATAAAACCAAAGCACCTTCGACGGAGACGAAGTTGAGTATTGCGAAACGGCCCCAAGTGACTGGCCCCAAATCGTGTACTTGTAAGTAGTTCCATGAAATTCAACGTTACAAGAAGTTGTGATGCCACTGGGAGCCACCGTTACAAGGCATGTACAGAGAAGAATTTTTTTTTTTTTTATAAAGAAATCTTTGTAGCTCAAAGTGACACAAGGTACATCAAACCGACTTGCCGTTCTGAAATTTTGGCAATTAACAAGTCACAATTGTGTTTTCATTTAATACTATAAATAACACAAGAATTTGTTGTTGATGATTTGTCTTTAAGGGAACAGATTGCCAAAAAACATGGGGGAGAACAGAGTAAAGAAAGAAACGTGAGATTTAAAATGAGGGTTTTGTAAGTCGGAAACATTCCAATTCTTCCAATCATGTTGTTGATGAGAAAATTGTTTCATGATTATTGTAAGTGTAAAAATAGTAAGCGTTGTACTTTGAACTTAGCGCTCTGAAGTTCTGAGCAGACAGAAACTGAGTATTACGTTCCATTTCGATTTAAGAAGCTCAGTTTTGTCATATTGAATCTGAGACTAGAGTCTTTCCCAGACTGTTTTAATTAGTAGTTACCTATATCAAAATGTCTGAATCAAATGGAAGTTGGCGTTTCCAAGAAAAAAAACAAGAGCAGTTATGTGTAACTGTTCTATTTATAGCAAATAAGAACATAACAATTAATCAAAAGAGGAATGAAGATATAGAAAAGCTAGTTTAATACTCAGCACTGGAAAAAAAATGTAATAGCCAGTGAGTATATTTGAATTTCTTAAGATACTAATATATCAAGGGAAAATAGTTACCATTTCTAATGCAGTTGGGAGTAGAAATACATGTAGCTTATTTCTGTGAAGAGTCGAAGTAGTTGTTTGGAAAAATCTTTAAACAGCAGGGTTTAATTAGCCCATGTGTGGTCCAAAGGGTTCTTTTCAGTTTGCAGTGACCACCAAGACCTAGAGAAAAAAGGGGAACTGTGACATAAATTTGGTCTATGGAGGGTCTAAATGAGCCTATAGACAGCCCGAGGAACAGTCTGGAAATTAAAAACAGCGGTCAAGGTTTCGACACTGCTAGGATCGTATCCCTGGTTCTCAGGGAGGAGATTTAGAGGACAATGGTAAGATCCTCATAACAATCACCAGAGCTCTTGAGGGCCCCACAGCAGTGTGATGTCTGTGGTCTGCATTGGTGCTTCCATAAAGGCACCCTTTGAAATACCAATACCTCTGTTCGATATTAACTTGAGATTGAGGATTTTTCCCTATTTTAAACGAGATTGCTTGAAAAAACCTGAAATCAGGGAAATCCTGTTGAGAAAAAATCCTGTAACCAGGAAAAATCCTGACAGATCTCACCTTGGACTCTGCATCATCACAGGCATGTACACTGTAATTAGTTTGATGCTTTCGTGGTTACGATCAAATGGGAACACTTCAAAATGGCCTTGCGTTGCACCACTTCAGGTGGTTGTCGCAGAAAAATGGAATTGACAGGGGGATGAGACTTGAGAGGTTTAAGCCAGTGGCCTAAAGTTAAAAAGCCTGAGCTGCAGCTAGTGAAACAGCCAAGGTTTGAAAAAGACCAATGGATTATTGTTTGCTTTATTGAAATGTTCTGTTGAAAAAAGAAAAAAAGTGTCTTATTTCCAGGCAATTCATTTACAGTTTTACAGTCAGAAAATTCCCCCCCCTCGGAACTATGTTGGGTTGTTTGACACCCCTCGCCCAGGGTACACGTATATTGGGCTCAATACGATTCACGATGGTACGCCTCCAAGAGTTTGTAATGTATTGATTGACCAGTCACAGTGTGTGAAATCTGTTGACCCTTTCCAAATGCCCATCGGGTCGACAGATTTTGTGCACTCTGATTTTTCAATGCATTGCCAACGCTTGGAGGCGCACTATTATGAAACACCTGTATTGACATACAGGTATTCCTAAATATTGCTCTGAAAGAAGTACTACAAAATGCATCATTTATTGTTTGTATTTTTGTATTTCTCGATTTATGTAGGCAGAGCAGTCTCATTTATTTTCAAAATGACAGTAAAACGTAGTTTGCGTGAACAGTACTTGCCAACTCTTATTTATTTCCAAAAAAGTTTACACTTTAAAAATTCAAACAACTTCCTTAGCCCTTTATGACAAAGTAGTTTTGTAAAACTGATTGTTTGGGTAAGCTTTTATTGGTTTCAGCTTTACCCCAAATTTTCTGCCAGGAATAGTACTTACACTTTCATCCTCTGTTAACTTTGCCACAGAATTGAGATGGTTGGCTGGGAAACCTGTATTTTGTTGTGTTTTAATTTGAAAAAGTATTATTTCATTTACTAATTGCAAGGTGTTTTTCAAAATTCTTGAGACTTAAACCCAGGGTTTGGTCCCACTTCTTGGCTGTCTGACACTGGCTTTTTTAGACTCTTATAAGAGAAACCTTTGTCCATGGAGGACTCTCTAAAGATATATCCGAGGAGAGGCCATTCCGGCGGGGTCTTAACTCGAGTGAGCATGCGAATAGGATGGCCCCGCAGTAATGGCTTCAAATTCGTTCGGCTGGATTTGTTTATACAGATATCTATGAAAGACATGTTCATACTGCCCAATGATCACACCGATATCTCTAGCCTCAAAAATGACTATCCGGACAAGATTTAGGTCGTCACTATAATGGATGTTCGAATATGGTAGAGAGGTGTCTTTAGAGGAAATATACATGTGTAATATGAACGCATGCCAGTTACGGTAAACTTAGGGTGTATTCAGTCAGGATATTTAACTAATAGCTTTCATGCATTTAGTATTCAGTTGAAATGTAATTTTGAAGTACAGCATTGGTAAAAGTCTTGTTTTGTATATTTTGTGGTAGTAAATATTTATTTGTGCCGGCTTTATTTTTGTAAGTAACTGAAATCTGTACTGACCGCATCGGTGTTGGTTGATTAATGGTTTTGTTTAATGGGTTGGCTTAGTACAGTCTGACCTCATTAACCCCAACAGTCCTCAATCCTTCACCTGTTGGAGGACTGAGGACTGTTAGGGTGAATTAATAAGAGCACTTTTAATACAAGATTCTGCGTAAGACTAGGAAATTGTTTGGTCCCAATCCTTTCTTTTTCATTGTTTTCATTCCTGATCATACAAGGTTCCTGTTATAACAAGGTAGTTTGATAAGTCCAAAGGATCTCTTAGTAACGAGGTTCGACTGTGGCTCATTCAGTAAGATATTTGGGGATGGTGAATGCATGTTTTTAGACCACCTGATATATATATATATTTTTTTTTTGGTGCAGTTTTGCATAGTATCGAAGTAAGATGTGCAAAAGCCAAAATGAGAACACACTAAAAAATTCAAGATAAAAACAATGCCATATATATATGCACAACTCTGTCCATGCACATTTCTCAGGGGACGGTCTTTCCAACAGATATGGCCGTTTCACAATAATGTGCCAACAAGAGTTTGCAACGCGTTGACCAGTCACAGTGCGCGAAATCTGTCGACCAATTTCGTGCTTGGAAAGGGTTGACAGATTTTCGCGCACGGTGATTGGCCAACGCGTTGCAAAATCTTGAGGGCGCACTATTATGAATCGGCCGTACCCTGGAAGTAGAGTGTCTTGCCGTGTTAATAATTTACCAAGTATTCTCTGCTTTGTAGCCCCATGCATGCTTGGGGCCCAGACTATTTCGCAGACAGTGCATGTGCTTCTGCTGTTCAACAAATCCTTAGCAGCATTTTCAACCGCTTGGCAAAAAACATGCAGGACCAGCGGGCAGCACAAGGAAGGCTGATCAGCCGAATGGTTACGTTGAATATAGGCAAATTTGGCTTTTGAAACTGCGCATGTGCGATTAAATCCTTTTTTAATGAATCCAGTTGAACTATTTTATAAACAGCTCAGCAAAACTCACATTTTACCCGATTTCAGGCTTTTTCATTTGAAATGCTGGGTAAGAACCTGGCCTTTCTGAAAACAACTTGTAACGTTTCTGTCACGTTAACCATGCTTGTATGCCTTCCCATATGCCAAAACCCCTGTGATTGACATGCGTGTTCAGTTATCGAATTTGTACGTAATCCACTCTGTAATGCCACACAAATTACAGTAGCCTAGTGGCGCATGTATATATCAATAATATTAATGTACACTAATCTGTAATAATCTTTCTGCTGGGAGCTGGACAGAATATTGTCTGGGAGCAGATTGTGTTTTTATTGATCTGTACCAGTAAATTTTCCGAATCCAGTATATTAATAAAACGAAACAAAATTCTATCTCCCTGTTTCTATTGTTTTTCCATCTTTAATTAGAGTTTGAACATAAAGTCTGAAAAGAGGCAGGGATCATCAAGTTAAAACGAGAAAAGAAATTGAGGACTCTGTACACCTGGAAGCACCCCCTCAAGGAAAGCAACAGGATGATGAGAAATTTTTCAACTACATGTAGCTTGTTCATGGGCCTGGTGCGTGGAATATACATTCCAACAGGAATTGGTCATATGTGCCCAGTGCACCCCATGCCAAACACATGGAAACCGGTTCATGCACAAGATGAGTTCCGGCCAAAGGGATGTTGCCACCATTTAAAAAAACCAATTGTTCCATCGCTTAGTGAATAAAAATCTACCAAAGTTTCACGTGATCCTTTGTTCTTTCGGTGGTACACGGCATCAAAAGCATGGATCAGGATGCATAATGGTAAAAAAAAATTCAATGCTGAAGTTGTCAACCTCCCCCCGACACACTACCCATCTAACATAGACCAAGTTTGCTTGATTTTGTGATCAAGTAGTTCAGATCTCGCACGAGTACCATGACAGAAAACTCTGACAAAGCCTAATTTTCCCCCAGTTAAGACATGCGCATGCCCGCCCCACCATAAAGTCCATGCAATGGCACTTTGCCAAGTTAGTTGACAGGGCCATTAGATCCGGAAATGGAAACATAAAACAGATTCTTGACAAACCAGCATTTAATTAACAGGAGATGAATTGACTACAATGTATGGCTGAATTTAGTCAGAGAGTCAAAAGAAGTCAATATATGGATTTCCAACAATTTTGTTGAAGAATTTTACTTTCTTTCTCCCAAACACCTCCGTCCATTTTATGGTATAGTCCTTGTGCAAGTTGTCCAAAAAAATCTCCTTATATGGACTTGGCAAGCGCGTGGCAAGCCGTGTGTACACAGACTCTTGACCAATCAGAATCGACTTAACTGTCTCGTATCCAGGTGCCAGTGCATGATTTACACAGCGGGCATTAACATTAATCAGCGGGCATTATGAAATGTTACTACACGGTCAAGTTGCATGTTGTTGAACAGGGAAACTGTCTGATATGTCTGAGGTATAAATTTCTAAATACTTATTTAACGTTGAAACCTTTGCTCTAATACACCACAACACTGTAAAATGTACCATTTGAAGAAAGATTGGTACTGGGGATTTTAGATTTTAAAAAAATTAAAATTTACAACTCTAGACAGTTTCAACATCATCTGATTCAACAGGTTGGTAGAGGGGATTTTAAAAAATGCTTAAAAATTACAGCTCTTTACACACAATCTCTACATCATCTGTTTCCTGAAAGTTTCCTTAAATTTTGGCTGGCTTCCAGAAATGACGGTCCCCCAAACTGCACTCCCATCCTTTAGAATGTTTTATGAGGAGCCAGGACTGTGGTGCTATCTCCATAGCAATAGAAAAGAAGATCCCTCTTGTGGTCTTAATGAGCCGGTTTGGTATTCCAGCTATGCCAAGACTGAAGCCTGGTCGTGGCCATTTGGAAATAGCAGCTCACATGCAATTGTTGGTCCGATCAGCACAGCTATGCACCTCCTTACACACATGCTTCATTCCTGAATGACCTCACTTTTCTGAAATACCGAACTGGCTATTGATATTCAATTCAACAGTGTAACACTTTTGCAACTTCAATCACTCCCTCAGTGAACACAGTGTAGCACTACAAACATTGTGAATGGACATAGGGCAAAGTTGGTGTGTTTATAGCTCATGGGCACTTCTAATCAGTCAAACACATACATGTGTTATCCGCTCCGAGCAGGAACAAAAGAGGGCATGTTTTGAAATGAAATTGACAGTCCTTTGGTACGCACTCACCACACAGGCATGCCAGTTAATGCGTGTCTAGCACGGGACACGATGAGTATGCGAGACGAATTTAGTCTGGAATAGATGGCCTTTGCGTGCACACTGAACGCGTGCAAGGACCTGGCTAGAAAACTTAGTACCATCTGTCTTTCTATCGCCGGTGAGGGTGCACTTCAGCTCGGGGCAGATACTGTCACTAACTAGACTGTCCTAACTTGATCTATCAAAGCAGTATTTTTAACTGCATGTGTAGCCACATCGTTCAATTTAACTGAATATGTGCATCTGTCATTGGGCTGCAATGATTTGGTTGAATGGGCATGGTTGGATCAAAAGAGCAGAGACTAAGAGAACTTGGCAGATTTGGGTCTTAAGGTTAAGGTTAGGCAACAGCTGTTGGGTTATTGGTTCTGAGCACATGTAGGCCCTCTCTAGTGGGGAAAGACCTGGTCCTCATCAGCCACTTTAGAGGGCAGTGCTTTTCGTTAGCCACTGGCATGTGTAAACCTTTAGTTGTTTCTGAGCTAAAACAATGCAAGGCCCTTCAAGATGGCCGACTTAGGTGAGCTTCACAATCAATGTGTTTTCACAAATCAACTTTAGAGACACAAATTGCGTTTCAAAACCATGCCTCAAACTTGAAATGACATTTCCTCAATCATTTTTTAAGAAGCAGTGATTGGCAAACATTGCTTAACTGCCCCAAAATTTGGCCTCCCAATATGGTTGAACTGTGAACTCGCAAGTACACAAAGTTCCCAGAATCATTCCAGTGTGCCTCGATCACAGATTACGCCTATTTCTGTCAAACCCACATGGCGAGGGCTTCAGTTGAATTCAAAGTGCTTAGAAATGTAGATGGAAATTCTAGAGGTTTTTCCATCCAGTTGATGATATTGTTCCAAACCTCATCTCTTGGTAGCTTGACCCCTGATCAGCTCGGCGTAGATCCCACCTCTCTTGAGCAGCTCCTCGTGAGTGCCCAGCTGGAGATTCAAAAACAACCTGTCTGTTGTTTGTTTTCTTTTCTGTTGTCATATTTTTCGTGATTGGTTCATTGAGAGTAGGACCCATAGTTTGGGTTCCCTGTGGTGTGCCTAGAGAAAGCAGAAGGCTTTAGGGCTGAAAATACATCATTTCGAAACCCTCACTGTTTTTAAAATTTTTGACAAAGCAACGTTACGTTACATGTACTCCAGAAAGCCCTTAAAAGTTGTGTTTTTGTTGGTACGTACCATATTTGTTGGAATAATTAGTTCAATTCATACACATGAAATCTAGGAAGTTAAGGTCATCAGTGTGTTCATTTTTTTCACATTCCAAACTATTGAATGCCTGTCAACATGTCTTTAAATACTGATAATTTCTTTCTTTCACCTGTCAAAATTGTTGGCCTACAACAGAAATTGGAATAGTTTGGGATCATTTTTGAAAAAAAGGCTGATTCAAACTTGGATATCTTCTCTTAGAGAGCATGGGGATTCAAGCGAAATCTGTAATAAAAATGATAAACTTTGGAAATATGAATAAAAATTGGCAGGTTTAGCAAAATGCTTTGAAAAGAAATTCACTGGCAAAAGACCAAGTTTTAAGGGGCAAGGGCACTACATGAGGAACCTGGGAAGAGGGAGGGGAAATGCAAACCTTAAATGTTCCAGGAAATTAATGTTTCTCAAAATCACTTTTTGTGTATCTCTGTACTCTTCTTTCATGTATGAAGACTGTTTGACATCTTTTTTGAGTTACGTGAACTGAACGGTGCACTTTTTCAAACATTAAAAATTGACCACGCATTTCTGGACAAGCGAAGGCACTTTTGCTTTGATGTAAATCCAGGAAGACATGGCTCAGGTTGCATGTTTCATATTCAAATTGTGAATCCCAAATTTTTTATCTGGGAGCATTGAAAAGGATTTTTGCTGGATTACTGCCATATACTTACACAGCAATAAATTGCCAAAGAAAATGAAATCTGCCACAGCAGTGGTTCAGAAAATCTAGAAATTTTCTGTGCACAAATCGGTGCAACATTGAGATTCAGTGCCATACTCTGCTCAGTTCTGCTCATGAATATGCAAATCACATTAGCATAAAAACCCAAAAAGCATCAAAATATGGGTTAAAATTGCATAACAAAAATCTAAAATCAGGTCAATTGAAACCCAAAGATGCAAGTTCAAGAGTGTTTAGTAAAGTTGATAAAAATATTTCTACCTCCTGGTTCCTTTAAGCACACTTTACAAAAACAGTTTACCCTTCTGTCATACCTCCTGAATTTTCCCATTGTCAAGTACTGCAATAAAATCTGCATTCCTGATAGTACTCAGTCTATGAGCAATGACAAGGACCGTACGACCTACAAAAACAAAAAGGGTAAAATCGGACATAACAAGACAGCTCGCTGACAGATCTGGTCCAATGTGTGGAGTGGACAATTTTTCAATCTCAGTAGCTTTGTCTTTGGCACTGGTATCTTGGGCGCTTCGAGCCATTTTCAAATATTTTCTGTGGGAACCAAAAACTCTTCCGTCACATTGTTTGGCACTGTCAAGAAAGGGATGCCTGTATGTGGGGTGGAGACACCCCCAAAGTTCTGGGTATCAATGGCCAACCAACAATCTGGTGGCCATCTTGGATGGGCAAAATCCCACGCCAAAAGTACCATTTCTTGCTTTATTGATTTGATTCAGATTTACAGAAGTTACTTTTTAAAAGGTTATGAAACTAAAATCTGCCATAGCAGTGGTTAAGAAAATCTAGAAATTTTCTGTGCACAAATTAGTGCAACATTGAGATTCAGTGCCATGCTCTGCTCAGTTCTGCTCATGAATATGCACATCACTTTGAAGGCTGTCAGCATCACTTAAAAAAGATTTAAACTTTGGAAAGTTTGAAAAAAATCGTGAAGGAAACAGTAGTCAAATGAAATCTGACAAAGAGATATTGGAAAATTCTGGAGAATTTCCTTCAAATTAATGAACTTTTCAGGACGTTTTGCTGAACTTCATTAAATTCTCAGCAATTATTTAGTAAAAGAGATGGATTTCACTGAAACTTGAATTTGGTGCCGTAAACAGTTAGAAAATCCCTCAGTCCAATAAGTAGAGCATTAAATACATCATGTTTACTTTTCACATTAACATGAGTTAGGGCTTGAACTTTTAGAAAGGTTCATAGGTCTAACAATACACCCCATACTAGGAAGGCATTGGAACTGACATACCTTTAGACACCTTATCTATGGCCTCCTGTACAACTCTTTCAGACTCTGCATCCAGGGCGCTCGTCGCTTCATCAAGAATTAAGATGGATGGGTTCTTGATTAATGCACGAGCTATTGCAATCCTACAGGAAACAATTTGGAAGACACACTATGCCACATTTTGTTCAGTAACAATAGCCCCTTGGCCACTTTTGCCAGGAAATTTGCCAAGATTACATAAACCCAAATATGTGCTGTCAAAATGTCATGTCATATGTCATGCTGAACAAATTTGCAATGTCAAACATTATGGGAAGCAAGCTTTAAACGTACTGCAATTAATCACCCTCAAGGTCATGGTGTTTAAACTATGGCCACACAATGGCTATGGAAACATTTATTGTTGGTGTCACGGGGGGCCTTCTGAGGTCACTGGCTGTTGCCATAGCAGCCAACTCACAGGTTTTGTCTCATGGCCAAACCCTGACTGTACCAATGTTTGGTACTGTACATGCATATTCAGAGAACAACTGCCAAACATTTCAGGCCAATGTAATAACTGACAACGTCAAAGACATACATGTACCTTTGTTTTTGTCCACCGGATATTGTCACTCCTCGTTCCCCGAGAACGGTGTCATAGCCATCTGGAAATCCCAAAATGAACTCATGAGCGTTAGCTAGGGCAGC